AGAAAACACTAGGAAATGGAAAGACCTCCCATGCTCTTGGATAGGCCAACTTGATATAGTGAAGATGGTAATACTGCCAAAATTAATATACAAATTCAATGCAATTCCTATTAAAAGCCCAATGACGTACATCACTGAAATACAGAAAAGTCCAAAAATTCATATGGAACAGCAAAAGACCAAGAATATCCAAAACAATTCTAGGGAATAAAGACAACATGGGAGGGATATCCATGCAAAACTTCAAACTCTACTACAGAGCTATAATAACAAAGACAGCATGGTACTGGCACAAAAACAGACCCAAAGACCAATGGAACAGAATAGAAGATCCAAAAATAAATCCACAGGCCTACAGCCAGCTGATATTCGACAAAGGAGCCAAAGACATACAATGGAAGAAACAGCCTCTTCAACCACAGGTGCTGGGAAAACTGGGTGGCCAAATGCAGAAAACTAAAAGGACCCCAGCCTATCACCATGCACCAACATCAACTCAAAATGGATTAAAGACCTTAACATTAAACCTGAATCTCTGAAACTACCGCAGGACAGAGTAGGAGAGACACTTGAACTAATAGGCACAGGAAGGAACTTCCTGAACAGAATCCCGGGGTCACAACAAATTGGAGAGAGACTCGACAAATGGGACTACGTTAAAACAAAAAGCTTCTACACAGCTAAATCTATCACAACCAAGCTAGAAAGACAACCAACTAATTGGGAAAAAATATTTACCAGCAATATATCAGACAAGGGGTTAACATTCAGTATATACAGGGAACTCAAGAAACGAATCCCTCCCAAACCTAACAAACCAATTACTAAATGGGCAAGGGAACTAAAGAGGGACTTCTCAAATGAAGAAATAAAAATGGCAAAGAAACACATGAGGAAATGTTCATCATCCCTGGTGGTGAAGGAAATGCAAATAAAGACAACCCTGAGATACCACCTTACCCCAGTCAGAATGTCCCACATCCACAAATCAGCCAACGACAAATGCTGGAGGGGATGTGGAGAAAGAGGAACCCTATTACACTGCTGGTGGGAATGTACACTTATACAACCACTTTGGAAAGCAGTCTGGAGGGTCCTTAGAAAGCTAAAGATTGACCTCCCTTACGACCCAGTCATACCACTTCTAGGCATCTACCCTGAACAACAGGAACCAATATACAAGGACACGTGCACCTCCATGTTTATTGCAGCACTGTTCGCAATAGCTAGGATATGGAAACAACCTAGGTGCCCCACAACAGATGAATGGATCCAAAAATTGTGGTATCTATACACAATGGAATATTATGCAGCCATTAGAAATGACAAAATAATGGCATTTGCAGGGAAATGGATGGAGCTAGAAGGAATCATGTTGAGCGAGGTAAGCCAAGAACGAAGAGACAAACGGTACATGGTCTCCCTGATAAGTGGATGCTAAATCCAAAAGGTTAGGTGATACGACAAAACTAACAGGACTTAAGAAACAAAGAACTCCCGCTCATCTGGTTGAACCACTACTAAATATCCCCATGCTGCTGATCACAAATATGGTATATAACATGTGAACACTGTTATATATTACAGACTGTGGTAGACAACTTGCTCCAGGGAAGTTAGAATTAACTTGTGACTTTGAAATTATGTAATCATTTAATCACAATCAAAAAAAAAAAAGAACCTCGGGGAAGGGAGGGAGGGAGGGGATGGTAGGGGGAAAACAATGGAGGGGGTAACAATGTTCAAGAGGAAGTGTACTCATAACCTCACTCATGTAACTGTAACCCTCTGTATAGTAGCTTTACAATAAAAAAAAAAAAAAGTATGGGAAATGGAGACACGCAAAAAAAAAAAAATCTTAGTTACTCGTCATGTATTTCTGAGGTTTGATTAGCAAGACATTTTAGAGAAACACTGAATTTCATGTATTTTATATCAACAGTGACTTTTAGAAATTGAATGAATCTCAATATGACATAAAGCAAGATATTCCATGACTTATGCAATTATTCCTATAGACTTGAATATAATTTATTTTTGGATGCTAGGAAATTCATATTATACCTACTCTATAGAATAATTAAGAAATAAATGATCATGATAGCATTTATTTTTCCTTCAACTAGAAAGGAAGAACCACTATAGATGACAAAAACTTGAATGGAAATGTCATAAAATTATGAAAAAATCAAATCATTGTGAATTACATGAAATAGTCATTTTTGAAGGTCACAAAATGAAATGTCTTGAAGCTTTCTTATCTGCTAAATAAAATGTATTTGCACTCAAAATATTTCATTCATCTCTCCAGCAATGTTATATTCAAACCACCTTGATTCCAAATAGATTCTCTGATTAATTCAATAAATATTTAGGAACAGAAGTTAACACAGTTGTATAGAAATATCTGCCCACCACTCTAGAAATTAAATATGAAATCATAAATGATTGGGATTAATGATTAACTTTCACTACGTGCCATAAAGAGGTGAACCCACTCATGTTGGCATAGTTGTAGAGATTTGGTCACTGAGAGCTTGTGATCAAAGAGGATGTTAATATCAAAGCCATTTCCTCCTCTTCCTTCTTTTTCTTCTTTGTCTCGGTCTCCTTTTTCTTTTCCTTCTCCCTCTCCCTCTTCCCCTCCTCCTCTTTCTCCCTTTCCCCACTCCTATTCCTCCTCTTCTTTACTTCCTGGCTTCCATGAATACACATACTCCATCACATGTTCTTGACATGGGGTACTGTGCCACCACCAACCCACGCAATGAGGATAAGAAGCAGAAACTGTAATGTGTAAAATCAGAAGCCATGATTAATCTTTCCCCCTTTTAAGTTAATATTATAAAGTATTTGTCGTATTAATAGGAGACTGTCACAGCATGTTCTCATTTATTATAAGGGATAAGATTTACTAGAAAGAAATCTGACAAACATCGCCCTAATGAAATGATTGATTAAATTAATCTTATATTAGGACAAATCTACTTTAAAATATCAGATACACTTCAATAAGAGACAAAAATCACCCCTATGGTTATCTATGAAAAAACAGCAGAATACATTCAGTTCCTGAAGCAAATTTACCTATAATTGGCAGTATTGTCAATTTCATAAATTATGTAAGAAGATTATAGAACAAAGTTCAACTCAAACTGCATGATATAAAATTTATTTTGTCCCGTGTATACTATCTATGTCTGGTTCCCAAAATGACTTGTATTTTATCATATTTTCAATTAACTTTAAGTAGTTGTATGAGAGAGGCTGTTTGACAAAGCAGTTTATGAATAGTGTTTAGTGAGTTTTTTTTTTTCTTTTTTCTCTCCTGAGGTTTGAACTCTGGGTGGGTGCTGTCCCTGAGCACCCTTGGATGAACACTACAACTCTATCATTTGAGGCACAGCAGCACTTTCAGATTTTTCTTAGATTTAATTGGAGATAATCTCACAGATTTTCTTGCCTGGGCTGCCTTCCAAACTCAATCCTCAGCCTCCTGATTATCTAGAATTACAGGCCTGAGGCGCTAGTGCCCGTCTAGTGCCCAGGATTTTGGTTTTTCGACTAGTCCTGGGGCTTGAACTCAGGGCCTTGACAATGTCCTGGAGCTTCTTTTCCTCATGCTAGTACTCTACGACTTGTGTCATAGTACCAATTGCAGCTTCTCTTGTTAATGTAGTACTCAGGAATCAAACTCAGAGCTTCACACATGCAAGGTAAGCAGTCTACCACTAAACCACATTCCCAGCCCAATACAATGGCTCTTGATGATCATTATCCCTCATCCTTCTCAATCCTATCATATCCCTCAATTTACATAATTTTGTATAATATTCGCTGACTTGCAATGTCATTTATAGTCATTCAGAGGATACATCACGGATCATATTTTCTTGATTGTCTTATTCATCGATATACTAAAGTAATGCATTATAAAATTTTTTGATTTTAAAATCTAAATAATCACTCACATTCACCCACTTCTATTCTAAAATTTAATGCAAATGCAATTTGCAATTCTTCAATAAAGTACAATGATTCTTAGAATGTTAAAGAGTTGGAGTAAGAATATCACCTTCAGTTCTAGAATATTTTATCATTACTACCCTCTCAAAATACTCCAATATTTATTAGTAGTCATTTCCTGTCATTTCAACCTACCCTCCCCTTGAGCAGATATTATTTCATATTCTAATTCTACAGATGTGCTAATTTTAAAAACCTCTTATAATCAGAAGATAGTCTATTTTATCCATTTCTCCCAGGTACTATAACTGTTTCCAAAGTAAATCAATGTAAATTTTTATCATGGATAGAGCATATTGTCTTGTGTATAATGTATGTGTATAATGGAATAACATCCTCAATGGGCATTTCAATATTTTATTATATGTTATTGTAAAGGTTTTTCTATGTATATCCTTGTACATGTGTCTCATTGGACATATGTTGAAGTCTACTTTGTATAAAAAATTATGATTCAAAATGCTGGATCATAGAGGCAACTCTATATGTAATATCTCAAAGATTGCCAGTATGTTTAACAAACTGACTATATCTTTTTAAGTGCCAAACACCAATGTATAACGATTCCAATTTCTACATAATGGTTGTGCAGAACTATCTTATTGTTTCTATTTCCTTTAACCATATGTTCCTTGGTTATTGTTATATTATTATAGAGATATGTATTTGGATTTTTGGATAACTTATTCAGGATGGTTAAAGTTTTCATTGGCATTAATATGCTCTTAATATATTGTGGATTCAAGTCTATTTAAATAAATGTATATGTATACAAACTATGTGTACATATTCATACTTATATGTGTATATATACAAACACTTATATATGTATGCATATATAAGAATATAGAGATGTGTACATACATGTACACAGACATATACGTATATTATTATTTTCATTTGTGTATAAGTTATCATTTTACTTTATTTGCCAAACATGTCCTTTATTGATTTTACTTTATTTTATTTTACAGTTGATGTTGTACAGAAGAGCCACACGCCGGTAGCTCACCCCTGATATCCTAGCTACTCAGGAGGCTGAGATCTGAGGATCGTGGTTCAAAGCCAGCCTGTGTAGGAAAACTCCATCAGACTCTTATCTCCAATAAATCACCAGAAAATCGGAAGTGGCACTATGGCTCACGTGGTACAGCTCTAGCCTTGAGCTGAAAAGCTGAGAGACAGCAACCAGGCCCAGTTCAAGGCCCACGACCAGCACAAATACCACCACCAAAAACAAGAAAGAATATTGGCTCAAAAAGCAATAGTATTAAACAGTCTTAAAGATAGGCCCAAGATTAACATTTTAGTATTATCTTAGATACCAGCAGCCTTCTAGTCCAATGAGCCAATAGGCCTCAGAATGTTGACCGAATTTTTTAATTTACACAATCATTATAAGTATGTATTTTCTCATCTATCTTTCTTTCATTTCACCACAGAATCTGTATTTGTCCTTTATATCATACTTGAATACCAAAGCCTTTGGAAGATATTTCTTAATTGGTGTATATTAATTAACCAAGAAATCTTATTGAAATATTTTACATTCTCACATATTAATGAAGGGCCTGATTAACCCAGTTCTGTCTTTCTCCATTCCCATTGCCCTTTATTTTTTCAACTGTTTTCTGTGAATTTCTTTGTGCTATCTTCACACATCATCAAAATGTATGAAAGTGCTGTTTACCCACGGTTATTGAAAGTTATACAACGTTGAATATAAAAGCAAACATCTAAATAAATGGAGACATATACTTTTTGTGGATTGCAGGATACAACTGAGTAAAGATACAAATTGTCTCCTCCCCTTTTCTTTTTGGTCATTTATGTGGCTTGAAATCTGGTCCTGGGTGCTGTCCCTCTGCTCTTCAGTTCAAAGTGAATGCTCTACTCATTGAGCAACTGTGCCACTTCTGGTTTTCTGGTGGTTAATTGGATATAAGAGTCTTATGGACATTCCCGTTCCAGCTGGCTTTGAACCGCAACCCTCAGATGTCAGCCTCCTATGCAGCTAGGCTGATAAACATGAGCCAACAGTGCCCAGGTTCACAGTTTTATTTATGTTTATGACAATTTCTAAAAACATCTGACTAGCACTCTTTGAGTCATTGAGAAAGAAAAATAAGCTGAAATATATTTCTCTGTCCAATAGTAAAGCTGTTAGTGTAAAATTGTTATATTTGTAGAGAAAAGATTATACATCTTAATGGGTCTGTAGGGCACCAGATTAGATCCACATAAATATTATCAAGGAATATTTAATAAGGGGTAAAAACAAACATTTGTGGAATGACATTCTCTTTAATAAGTGGTGATAGGTTAGACAGTATTTGAGAGAATTAAAAAGTGAACATTGACTTAAACATAACAGTTTATTCAAATGTTAACTTCAAGCAGGATTAAAACGTGGCATATAAAACAAAAAGAGTGATGTAAATGTAAAGCAAAGGAAGATGTCTTGAGAAGTTTGGAGATGAAGCATTCTTAAATTTGGCATTAAAATTATAGGAAAGGAAAATGCTATAGTTGAACTCAATAGAAGCATAAAACAATTTAGTCTGTGAAAGCTCATATACAAGTAGTGAATAGAATTTGGGAGCAGGTAGGCCATGTATCTCATCCTCGCTACTTGGGAGGCTGTGATTGGAGTATTGCTATTTGAAGGCAGCCCACAAAATAAAGTCCCTGAGAATCTTATCTCTGATTAATCAGCAAAGAAGCCAGAAGTGAGGCATGACTGAATGGTAAATTATTAACAAATTGCAACAAATCTCAGGGACACTTAGTTCAAGCCATAGATATATGTACAAAAGTAATAGTAGTAATACTAATATGATGATGATGATGATGATGATGATGATGATGATGATAATTATGATGATGATGAAGGGTACCCATAGGCAAGGATAAAATATTTGCAAATCCTATACGTGAAGAATGCCTCAAATCTAGATTCTACATAGAATTCTCAAAACCTAAAGTTAAAAAGAACATCAACTAGAAACCAGCAAAATACATCCTGTGAAAAGTAAGCACAAGTAAAGCATCATCAATCATCAACTAAATGCACATTAAACTAAAATGACATCATAAAACATGTATGAGAATTACTTCACATAATACAATAATGACCACACTAAATCCTATCAAGAAACAGAGAAACTGGTTGCTGGCAGGAATGTCAAATGGGAAAGCCACTTCTGAAAACATTTTGACAGGTTCCTAGAATGTGAAATATGCAACCACCCACACTATAGCACAGGAATTGTGCTCTTCAGGCTTTAACTCATAGTCATAAAATGTAACATTCACCCAAAGGCCAAAACACAGAGGATTATAGCAGCATTATTTCCTCTAGTCAAAGAAATGGAAATCAACTCAGGCTTTATTCAGGTGAATGGGAAATGAATTGTGCTACATTTTCTAATGACAGAACCAAAAGTCAATTGGGGTGAACACAATACAATATTAAGACATACAATAACTGGGAATAATCTACCATAGATTTGAAGGCAATCCAAAAACCTTATTTATTGCATGTTGTAGAAGTTGGAGAAAAAAAAATGTTGGTTGCCAGGATGAAACAGGTCTGGTATGGGACAAAGAGAAGTAGTGGGTTTAATTATAAAAGGGAAGCATGAGACAGACTTATTTTTGGTAAAGAAACATATCTGTAAATATTGTATATTCAAGTAGAGTTGATAAAATTATATTGGACTTAATATGTGTACAAAATAAATTAAATGAATTCTGCATAAAGTACTTGTGAAATATTAATGTTCTATTTGTGATGTATACTAGAAATAGTTAAATAAATTGGAAAAAGAATTCAAGGGATTTATATCTGTTCTTATAACATCATAAAGATCCATACTAATCTAAGTAGAATTTAATGATATCTAGAAAACAGAAGTGAATATTGAATGTCTACATTGAAAACTATTCTGGGTCCAAGCTTGAGATGAAATATACTTGCTAGTTACAAGGCAGAGATTTACAAGACTGATATAAGGGCCAGTTCTGACAAAAAAAAATCGTGAGAAACTACAAAAACAAAGAAAGCTAGATATAGTGTAATTCTCCTGATATCTCACGTTTGTGGAATCCATAGGTAAGAGATCATTGCTAAATGGAGGCATGGCCTGAAAAATAATCTAAAGTGGTTAGAACCTTAGCAACTTCAAAACCAGTAGTGTCAAAGGAAAAAAGAAAAGAACAATAAAGAAAAGGAAAGGAAAGGGTAAAAAGGAAACTATTTCCTCTTCATTCTTGTAGTTTCATGTCATTGGATACAAGAATTGAGAGACAATGCTTGATAAGAAATGTACTCATTAGCTTGCCCATGTAATTCTAACCCCTCTGTACAGTATTTTCACAATAAAAAAGAAGCCAAAAAAAAAAGAATTGAGAATATTTTGTTTACTGTTTTAGGAGTCAGGCCTCTTTAATATGAAAGCATTTATTTCAAGTAATTATTGTATTACTACTATCTAGTAACTTATTATTAGGCCTTCTTGGAGATTGAACCCATGGCTTTGTATATATTAGTCTAGTTCTACAACTGAGCTGTAACCCCAGCTCTCTTGTGTAGTTTTGGGAATTGTTCATGAAATCTTCAATAGTTAGCTTTTCTACTTTTCCTCTTAGCTTTTCTCTCCCACCTTTTCCCCTTTGTATTTTAGTTTATGTGTTGAAAACTTTCTCCAATATTATCTTCTAAATTCAGAATTTTACTTTTGATTTTACAGAGAAGTCGGCTATTTATATGACATTTTTAAAAATTGTATATAGATATATATATTTCACATGTATGATTAATTCTTAGAGTTCATTGCAATTAGCAACATTTATATGGCCATATGCACATAGCTATTGAGCCATTGTGATCCTCTCCTAAGAATAACTTGTCTTGTTCTTGCCATGTGAATGCGTAGAGTGCTGTTAATCGCATCCAAGTGCAATTATTTGTCTATTATCTATTAGATTATCTAGTTGATTTATGGACATATCTAGTTATTAGAAATGAGGAAAACCCTGCAGCATATATTTAATTGGTTCTGGCTTATTTTACTTAATATCATTTTTTCCCAGTCTTTCCATTTCTTCAGGAATGGGGTAATGCCATTCTTTCCAATGGAAGCACAGAATTCCATCAATACAACAGAATTGAAGATCCAGAAATGAATCCACTCCTATAGGCACATACTTTTTGTTAAGGAAGCCAGAAACACAGTATGGAAGATAAACAGCCTCTTCAAAAAACTGTCCTGGTAGAATTGGCTGTAGAAAACTGAAGTAGATCCTTATATATCCTCCAGCACCAAAATCGACTCCAAATGGATTGAAACCCTCAATGTAAATCCAGATACCTTGAGAAAGTTACAGGAAGAGTTAGGGGAAACATGAGGTCTCCTTGGCACAGGTCAAAACTTCCAAAGTAATTCTGGATAAATGGGATTACATCAAACCAAATCAATCATTTGTCAGGCTCAAAAGCCATGAAAAAAAAAAAAGATAGTGTAGCACAGATTTATTAAGGAACAAACTTACAGATCAGAGCCTCAGCCAATGCTAAACCCTTTCTCCCTTTTCTAACTAAGTTATTTATACTGGGTTTACATCAATATTAGAGTTTTCTGGTGGGAATTAGTCAGAAAACAACATGCTAAGACAGAGAGTATGTGAAATAAGTTGTAGCTGGAGTAAGGGAGGGATTAAGGCAGGTGGATCTATTCCAAGCCTTGGCTTGGTAACAGCTAAGTGAGGTATAGCTGCACCAGGGAAGGGAGGTAAAGCAGGAATGGTTATAAACAAAACACTGGTCTGAAGCCTCAAAATAAAGACCCCAGTCTGTATGGAGCAAACACTCTCTAACATGATGTTTTATTTAAATTAACAAGCACGATTTAAGATTTTAGGAGAGTGGGATGGTGCATAGTCACAGGCAATTTATCCTATGTCATGTAATCCCATCTACTCTTTTACTTTACCCAATACCCAGGTTTCAACAAAAATGAATACAATGAGACTGTACAAATGAGACTGCGGCTTTTCCCTCTCATGAATTAAAATTCTCTCAA